ATCGGAAGCTAAACTATCCACAAAAACATATTAAGAACATGGCTATTAACTATTACCTGCTGTCTCAAAGGACCGACAATTCTGGAGTTGATCTTCAACTGCAGGTTGAGGGTGCGCACCGCGTGTGACAGTGAAAACGTATTGAATGTCGCGTGCTGGTCAACAGTTCACAAATCCAAGTTCACACTGTCACCACAGGATTGTCGCGCAACGTTGCAGGAACGTAGCACAAGCTGGAGCTGCTTCAACAGAGAAAAGGAATACGCGCTTCATGTGACCACGCTTGCTGTAAGCTCCAGCAAATGACAGGGACTGGAATCCCAACCATTCAAAAGCCAGTTTGCTCAGCTGTCCAGTGAATGCGCATGGTGTGCACCGCACTGATTTGAAGGAATTGAATCACTGGTGTTCAAAGGCCTTTCCAAAGGCTCTGAAGAACAAGTCAAGGTGCATCGCTACCAGTAACAAGAAGCTACTACTACCAAACCCTGATGCCTCAGACCCTGATGGATAGCTTTTTTGAGATGGGCTCAAACTGCAGGCCCCCCACTGGACAGGTAAATAAACCTCCTCAGATGAGCACACACCAGACAGCTTCAATAGAATATATGCACATCTCAGTCGCAGGCTTAGAGCTTTGGGGTAAACTGGTTTTGACACTTTAGCCTTGCCAGTGGAAGGATTGTGGGCTGGAAAGAGTATGAGCTTCTGGCAACAAGTGACCTAAGGGAATCGCCCAAGACGAAAAAGACTTCATCCTACTATATAAGGACTAGAGGGCCAGGGCTTAGTGTGAATCAGAGGGGGTCACCAGCAGGGACTCTGAAGGGCTCTTCTTTTCTGAACGGTGTCAATTGGCTTGACGTCATCCTCATGAACATGACGCCACCAACCCAAGCGACTGAGAACAGTTCGAGAGGTGTCCTGAAGATGCTGCAGAACCAGTGTTGGCTTCAGTAAATTCAACCGCCTCACAAAACTCCCTGGCCAATGGTCTAGTCTTGTTCACTCTTCAGTTTGATGGCCTTAACCAATATCCTGGAACTTGCCCTAGACTCAAGTTTGAGCAGTTCGTCTTTCTATTTGCCCTACGGTCAAAGAAGAAAGCTAGAGTCTAGCAGCTAGTTAAAGATCGGTTCTGGCCTCAGGCCTGAAAGGCCTGAAAGGACAAAGAAGCGTATGTTTTGATGTTGTGGGAGCTACCAAAAGCGCCCTTGCTCCTAGTAGCGATGCCCTTTGTTACTAGTAGCTTCTTGTTCCTAGTAGCGATGCCAGGAGCTACTAGTAGCGTCCTTGTTCAATAAGAATTATAAGTTGAAAAAACAGGCCAAGACCAGGCCAGGAGCTGCACAGCATAGAAGTTCTGAAGCTCTTAGTCCATTTATCCAAATGGAGTTCGGAGCTCAGCAGCAGCAGTCTAGCTTGAAACAACTCGGTACCCAAGTGCAAAGCATCCATGTGCCGCACATACTTTGATGCTTTCACATACGTGTCGATGCTTTCACAGCCACGGCTCAGAACATCGAACAAAAGGGCTCCCGGTAGCTTCTTCTTACTAGCGTCCTTGTTACTACTAGTAAGGCACTTGTTACTAGTAGCGATGCACTTGTTCCTACTAGCTTCTTGTTCCTAGTAGTATGGCCAGGAGCCCCTAGTAGCGCCCTTGCTCCTAGTAGCGATGCCCTTTGTTCCTAGTAGCTTGTTGGCGCCTAGTAGTAAGGCCAGGAGGTGCTAGTAGCTTCTTCTGGCTTCTGAGGAAAATCAACATTAACGTGGTGCCCATCTTTGGACATCGTCTATGCCCTCTGTGGCCTGTTGTTACAGCCATACTGCGCCCAGTGTGCTTCCCTTGCAGGAATGACAGAGTTGGTGTTCAACCTGCGTTCAAAAGTTGCAGGCGATGAGAGCCAACCATGCTCAGTACAGTCCCCGCACTCCACAGCTTCCCTCGCAGGTTTGAAGTGGTTGTTTTCTGCAATATCTGAAAGGTCTTAAAGACAAGAGCAACAAGCCTTTTCAGTTGAAGATGTTTGGGATCTATTGCAAGACTCAGTGTTGTTTAGTATCTCTACAGTAGGTAAGCACGAAGCATCTGACGCTTTTGCAGCAAAGGGATCCACTTCTTTGCAAGGGCCGCTGCGGTTGACCAAGTGAATCACGGAGACTCAGAACTCGTGCAAGCATGGCCCAGCGCTAGGAAGATCGGAAGATCCAGTTCCAATATCCAAAGATGCGTTTGCTGTCTACTGAAATACTCAGAAAGCCCGTTCAGTGCACTATATCTTTAAGAAGCAGTGCTGCAACGAGCTGCACAGGTTAGTAAGTATTGGCATGGATCTGGATTAACCGCAGCCCTGGCTCAAAGGCATCAATTAAAGCGTGATCATAGCCCTCGCCTTGGCAAACGAAGGACCATATTGTCTAAATACGCCTACTAGCGGTCCCTAGTAGTGAATGTCTTGAATATGCTCGGCAAGTCCACAATTGAATGCATGCAAGCGCATGCTGGCTTAATGGCTCGCTGGAGGCATGTGATGTACATGATCTGTCACCTCCGACACTCTGGGCTACCCACCGGAACATCGTTGAACTGGAGCAAGGCACTTCGACAGTCGCGGTTGAAGATCACTGCCTCAATTTCGCACACCAAACAGGGATGAAAATAGATCACAACTCCAGCTAGATCAAGCTTGTACAACTCTTTTGGAGTCTAAGCCCCGCTGGACCCTTGCTCTTTCAGAAGTCTGAAAGGATTATAGAATGGACATGCAAGCAAAGCTGGTTCTTCTCTCATTAACAGCCGAGCAGAATCCCAACCATCTGCGCGCACCGGAGGCATGAGGCTTGTAAAGAGCTTTGCAAAAGCCTGCATCAATGCTTGGGCACGCGTCCATTCGTTTGGCGTGCCCATATGGTTCATTTAGTTCAAGCAGATCCCAACAAAGCAATATAGCAAAGTTACACTTCAAAATGGTAATAAGGCTTCAAAACAAGGACACCGTCGCCTCTGTACAGGTTGGATCTGAACATTTGGCGCGAGCGAACCGCTCGACCACCTGTAGGGTCTCTGTCTTGTCTTCACAAAGCAGTTTCTATCTTAGGAAACAAGCCACTTAAAAGCGTACAAAGAAAAACCCAAGTTGATGCGAAGTGCAATGGTTCTTTTCAGCAGCAGGTCAGCAAGACTCCAGTCTGACAAGCTAGACTGAAGTGCCGAGCACAAAAGGAACTAAACTTGGGATGGTTGCTACTCCAATCAAGCTGCCAGATTACAAAGATCTACGAAGCATGTCAGTAACAAGAAGCTACTAGGAACAAAGGCTACTAGGAGCAAGGACGCTATTAGTAGCTCCTGGCCTTACTAGTAACAACAACGCTACTAGGGGCTCCTGGCCTTGCTACAGGAGCAAAAAGCTACTAGTAACAAAGGGCATTTCTACTAGTAATGAGGATGCTATTAGGAACAAATTTGAGACTAGGTTCACCACACAGATCAACTGCCGCGTTGGCAACCGCACCTGCAGTACGTACAACACAGGTGCAGGAAGGCACCAAAAAAGGACCCGGGCTATTATGAAAGAGGTCAAAGCTGCTGCTTGACTACTGAGGTCTAGCTGCACCAAGCTTGGACTTGACTTTGAAAGCTTGGTTCCGGCACCAAGCCACTCATCAAGAGCCGGTGAAAGAGCTCGATACCTCGAACGGAATAGTCCGTCAAAAAAGGAAACAGAAAAACGATCACTGCATAATTGGTTTTTATGTAGCCAAAATCGAAAGAGGGTCGCCTGGGCTAAAAAAAAAGCATCGTAGCGCAAACATATTGCTGCATCGTGCACTTGTCATTTACTGATGTCACAGACATGCTTCTCACACTCCAAGGTCCAGACTCAGGTTGTGCATTGGGGGCTCCTCACTTTAAGACACAAAACTTGTTCACACCAGAGTTTGTACTTCTGTGGCAATAAGCGCAGCCAAAAAGCAACATATTGATCTAGTGGACCGCTTTCGAGCTTCCCTTTCCACACCGTCTGAAGATCAAGGGAGCAAAGGAACCCAGCACCACAGCATGAACAACAACCGCCACCGGCAATGCAGACTTCTATTCCTTAAGTGAATTGTGGTTGAAGCTGCACGTCAGTCCATTAGCGAATTCACTGGATGGTCTACCGTACTAAACTTAAGTTTAGCAAACGAAGTCGTGGATCTTCAGCTCCATTTCGAAGGAGCGGTGACTGTGCAAGTCCCTGTGCAGTGCTTGAACATCGGTTTCTCCTCTTCTAACGCATCATTGGTCTCATCGTCACCGCCAAAAGCTTCCCAGACCTCTTGAATTGGCAATGGGGGGGTCCCCAACCTCATCTAGAAAACAGTACAAGACAGTAAAGAGTACGCCACTGTGTGCATCCACACTGAAAAGTTGTCTTTGAGTGATACTGCAACCTTCATCTCTTGAGTCCTGTGTGTTCATCCCAATATGGACTTGAGAAGGGAACGCACGCATGCTACCACCATAACATGTTGAAGCTGCTTCTGTTCGGACACAAGATGTCTTATGCATTAAAATAGAATATATATATATATCAATGCAATGGATTTTGTGCAAAGCCGCCTTGATACCAGCGAGCTCAGAGAAGCGCTCCAGATGGAATTCGAAGCACGCAGCCTCGATAAATACTGTAGATCTACAGTATATAAATAAATAGGAAAACACAAAAACATCCAACATCCGCCTCATTCACATACATGCACAGCTTTTACAGATCACAGTCATACTCATACACATTCATTCTGAATCCTTCCAATGGAGCTATTCCTAACCAAAGTAGTGACAACATGTGCTAAATCCGTGCCTCACTCAACTACATACATTTGAGATCTCCAAAGCGATTTCGACAGTGGTTCAAGGCCTCAACATCTTCAGCATCCTCACAGCAATCAATATCCTCCGGACAGCTGTGGTGGCTTCTGCAGAGTTCAACCCTTCCAATCGATCACCAGAATCATGTCAAAGCAATGCACAATACAACGAGCATCTGACCGTTGTCCTTTATTGAGATTGTGCACTGAAATGGATACAACATAGTTGTGCCCTTCCCATTTGGATCCATTCGGTTTAGATTTGGAATCTCCCAGATCGCAATCATTGATTTGGCTGAAGAGTCCTGCATCTTGAGCAAAGGCTCAGTCTCCACGAATCTCCATAAGGTTGGTGCCGTGGTCACCTGTGAGAAGTCAAAAAGTAAAGAATCTCATGTCAAGCCATCTTCAAAGCGAAAAACTGCGAGTCATTAGAAGTTACTTGAAGTTACTCAAGTCTAAGCGAGTAGACCAGTTTTGTACCAGAATCTCCAAGCCTTCAGGTTGCCAGCGATCCATTCACGCACGTGGTGCAACCTGGTCCAAGTTGACAGCTGTGTTATCATTCATATCACAACAAAACACCTCATGAAACCTCAGTGCTTCGTCAAAACCAGAGGCTCCGGGCAAGGATGGCACTCCAAAAAAGGCCGCACAGTCCACTGCTATGCGAAGGTCTTCAGGTTTGGCCTAAATCTCTGGTGCCAAACCAACATCTGACAATTAGACTTGATAACTTGACCCTGACCGCATAGGAGACGGTCACCGGGTTCCTGTTTCACATGAGTTGGACGTGATGCGACATTTTGGTTCACCGCAGTTCACCCATCTTCAAAAAGCTCCGCCATGGTGAGACCCAAATGCTAGCATTATTGTTTGGGAACTCGAAAAAGAAGGAGCGCCATGGGCAGCTGACATGGTTGCAGCCGGGCCACCACAAAAGTGCCCTCATGGATGAACTCCAACAAGCGGGCCATTTGCTCCTGGAAGATTCAGCCGATAAATTCTGTCAAAGCATTTCACGTGTGGAGACGGGATCAAGGAATGCCCGAAAAAAAAAAAAAGAACTGATCCTTTGAAATGCAGCTACTGTATGTCTTTACCCAATTCTCTCTCGACCCAGCCCCCCAAATCATCCACACAACCCAAAACCAGCCCTATCCAATTATGTTTCAAGCTCCCAAAAGGGGGTCTTCCGCTCCGCTGAAGAAGTAATTTATCCTTACTTTCCTCTCGCATCCTCCCCGATCAAATCTTCAACCTCATAGGTCCTGCCTTCATGTTCTTATGATGTCTTATGTGTCTTTTGTCTTATCAGCTTCATCATGAAGAGATTTTAAGCCGTTGGGTCCCCTCCTCATGAGGAGGTCTAGTCTTGGGGGATCCCTCCTCATGAAGAGATTGAGTGCTCCTCCGGATGAATTTGAGGGGGGTATCCCAGAGAGTTTCCCACTATTTGGTCCCCAGACTCTGACCTTCTAGGCGGGGACTACTTTGTCTGTCCTAAGTTTTGTGGCTGCATTGTAGACAAAGTATGACAAAGTGTGGCCAACTCCATTGCGGAAACGACTTGGAAACGACTTTCGTGGAACACAAGGTACAAAAAGGGAAACTCAAGGTGCAGCCCGCAGGATTATGCAGGGAGCTGTGGAATGCATGGCCATCATGGCCGGGTCGACAGCACCAAGTTGGCCTCGAACAGTAAAGGATTGGTTTTAGGTTCAAAATCGAGTTGTTGCAGGGATTTGATGTTTCTCTGTCCCACTTTGCGTCTAAAACGATTCAAAATGAAGCTCCAAGGGTAGTACAAAATAGGGCCGAAAGATAGGCAAGATAGTCCACGATTGCTGAGACCGGCGCAAACAATCAAGAATCCAGTAGGGCAGTGTAGCCGTAGCCCGAATGCAAAAACAAGGAGGGCCACATGCCAAGTTTGCTCTAGAATCTGGAATCGTGAGTTTTGCAGGTCAATCGGTGCGGGCAGACAATGTCGCAAAGCACAGAAGAAGCTCAGCAACGCAAAAGCTTCCAAACAGCAATGGAACTCCAAAAGCGCACAGGAGCGAAAGTCAGATGCAGCTCAAGCTCGCTCACAGCCCAATCTTGCTTCTTCCGCCCATATAGCCCGTTTATATACTCATGCAACTACAAAACGTGGCTCGGGTGTCAATGATTGAGCCACTTCTGCACCGGTAACTTGAACAGCCACAACCTCAAAGGGAAACAATGTGCTCAAAGCATTCATTCCAATGCTGCTTGGTCCTTCGGCCAGTACACGGTCACCACAGTCGTTTCATCCCCTGTGGCACAGCCTTGGCAAGAATCAAACTACTTCAAAAATGATGTTCCAAGGTCTTATGCTGCTTCTCATTTGGCCTGATTGAGCCATCCTGCAGGCAGAAGCTTCCCCCTTACCCCTCCCTGGATATTCAAGGTCCGCCCTCCTCTTGTATCTTCTACGTGCCAATCTGCAGCTTCTGGACCTCCATCCCGACCTTCTAAGAGTGGAACGTCGATACAAGAGTAACAAGGTTCGCTACTAGGGGCTCCTGCCATCGCTACTAGGAGCAAGGATGCTACTAGGGGCTCCTGGCCGTACTACAAGGAGCAAGAAGCTACTAGAAGCTACTAAACAATGGAGACCCACGGAACCCTTGAAGCCATCGCTATTAGGTTGGAGGCCATCGCTAGGAGGTTGAAGGCCATCACTATTAGGTTGGAGGCCAATGGCTACATCGCTATATATACTAGAAAGAATCTTTTGTACGCTGGAAAGGTTGCCCAAGGCCAGTGATGGTGAAACTTCACTGCATGCCCTGCAGGCCCTGCATGCCCTGGCCTTGCTTGGCCTCTGGAACGTGTTGGCGATAAAACTGAGAACTGGAATTCTGAGTTTGTTAGAGAATCTGAACGACATGTGTACTGGTTTTGCTGTGTGTGCTCATGTGTGGAGTCTGTCAACAGTAGGATCTTCGAGCTTGTCATTTTCCAGGACATTTTGCCCTGGCGCGAAAAGACTGCTAAGAGGTCACGATCTCAGAACTCAGTCACTGCTGCCATAGGGAAAGCACTCGGTGGGATCGGCAAAGAAGCCACAACGCACAGTGTAGTGCGAGTAGAACCTTCAAGGCAGGAAGCACGCTTTCAATCCGCAACCATTGCACACAAAATATCTACTGTGTAAGTTTAAAGGAAGAGCTCAGGACTTTTGAGTCCACACAATACATACAGTGATTGGTGAGTCCACCATGTCCACCCTTCACCAAAGATGGTCCACAGGCAGAGTCTTCATTATCTTTGGTCTTGAGGATGCTCCAGATCTTAGCTGTTCCTTCAAAAACAACAGAGTGTTCTGCTCTGCACACAAGGGCAATATCTTGAAAACATTCGAGCCTGTCCGCGCAATGCTCACGAATGTCGTGCGGAAAATTGGGCAGTACCTGCAAGCAAGCTTTAGCAAGCTTTAGCAAGCCTGAGCACTGGATGTGCCCAGCCATAGCGAAGACTGGTCCCATACTTCAGCGTAGTCTCGCTCACCTCTTCAACCCCAATGGTGCTGATCAATAGCAGATTTGCACAAACATGCACAAACAACCAACTTGGTCGTAGCACCCTGGCTTCTATCTTGAGTACCTCCAGTTTCAACCAGCCTTCGATTCTAAAAAATTGGTCTTCTCCTTCTCCACAAATAGAACGGCACATGTGGGCGGCATCCTCCACCACCACCGCCACCGCCACCATCACCACACCATAACACCACACCATAACACCACACCACTCCTGCTGGAAGTAGTTTAAGTAGACGAATGCCCAAACCAAAAGTCCCACCACAAGCAGCATGCTCCTCACCAAGCTCGCGCAATCTCAAGAGAAACACATCATGAATGAACATATTGGTTCCCTCTGGAAGGGCAGCAACATGAGGGAGGCGTGAGGGAGCAATGAGGCTCATCGCTTTCCAGTGGCAACCAACCCTTGTTGTGATGTTTCACGTAAAACGTTGTCATTCAAAAAGAAGACATTTTTTTGATCAGAATGCCATGTGTCCAGACCGCCAGGCCAAGTGGCCGCCTCTCAATGCCTCAGAACTGTCCCCTTACCTTGCTTTCTTGCATGAGAATTCTCTCTCTCTCTCTCTCAGGAGAATCGGTCCTTATCACTTCTGCGCTGGTTTCATCCGTTTGCCCATCTAAAGCACTTTTGTCCTCATGACTGCGTCGTCGTCTCAAACAAAAGACTAAACTGCATGGCAAAGAATTAGGAATGTTCCTTGGCTCTCCGCTACCTGTCCAAACTACATAAAGCACTCAACGCAGCGAATGCAATGCAAGCGAAACTTGTTCACCTTTGTTCCGGGCTATGGTGCAACCTGTAAAGTAAAGCAGTGCTCCCCAAAGAAAAGCTCTTCAAAAGCTCTGCAAATCCGCCTTCGGAATGTGAGCGAACTTTGTCAACTCAATAAACTGACCTAAGCGACAACACAGACAACACAAAATTCTATGCACGAAAAGAGGCAAAAATACTAAAGACTCAAGAGAAATGAAAGACTCTTCTCTGAAAGACTCTTCTCCTTCTTGCCGGAATGTGGTGTGCTCTTTCAAGGCTGAGGCTCAGATGATTCACAGATTGAAGAAAGGAATCACGTTCAAAAATCGAAGATAAAGAGGACCAGTCCAGCCAGTCACACAAAGTGACATCTGATGCAATTAAAGCTTAATGTGACGAATGAGGTTGTGTAAGAAACCCTGTACCTTTCCCTATACCACTTTTGACGTTATCGTTTTTGTTTTTCCTTATCGTTTTACAGCACTTTGACTAACTGCAACAAATGTAGTAACTTAGTATATTATATAATGTAGTGTTTGCACTACATGAGTGCTAAAGGTCGGCACTCACGTTTCTTCAAAAATTAGCAATTTGCAGTTTCCTTGAAAAAAACGATACCAATCCCAAAAACGATACCTAGCCTTGTGACGGTACACATTTAGGAATCTATCTTTGCCTATTGAAACTGATGAGATGACACTCGAGACACTGTATGTCCAAGGTTTTTTTCATATGGTTTGCCATGCTAGTTGGACATTCCATTTTGTTTTTGCTCATTTTCCCTTTTCTTTGATGGGAAGCAATTATGGGTTTAGACCAATACTAAAAACAATACCAAACGATACCCACTTCATAGGTCTGTATCCCCTCAGAAACCACCTGGCCACTTACATGCCACTACTACTGCCACTACTTCTACTTTTAGCACCACCACCACCACCACCGCGACTACTACTACTACTACTACTAATACAACTACTACCACTACCACTACCACTACCACTACTACTACTACTACTACTACTACTACTACTACTACTACTACGACCACGACTACGACTACGACTACGAACACGACCACGACCACGACCACGACCACGACGACTACTACTGCTTCACGACGACGACGAGGGCGACGACGACGGCGACTAACTACTACGACGTATACTACTAATACTACGTATACATACGTATACTATGTATACTACGTATACCACGTATATTACGCATACTACTACTATCACTACTACTGCTACTACTATACTACTACTACCACTACCACTACCACTACCACTACCTCTACGACGACTACTACTACTACTACTACGACTACCACTACCACTATACCACTACCACTACCACTACCACTGCTACTACTACGACTGCCACTGCCACTGCCACTGCCACTACCACTACTACTACTACTACGACGACTACTGCTACTACTATTACTACTACACTACTACTACTACCACTACTTCTTCTACTACTACTTCTACTACTACTGCTACCACTACTACTACTACTCCTCCTCCTCCTGCTGCTATACTGCTACTGCTACTGCTCCTGCTCCTGCTCCTGCTCCTGCTGCTGCTGCTGCTGCTGCTACAACCACTGCTGCTGCTACTACTACACTTACTACTACTACTACTACTACTACTACTACGACTACTACTACTACTACTACTACGACGACGACGACGACGACGACTTCTACTAGTCATGATTTGCAATTCCACCTTCCAGAGCAACTTACATTTAGACGATACTCTGAGGGTCTTTATAAGTTGTGGCTGTTATAAGTTACTTAAAAGCTAAGTATAAGTTCACGACGGAAGTTATATGTTCACTTACAACTTCCACAAGTTCCGCAAGTACTACCTGCAGTTACGGTACTTCGTAAGTTCAACTTGGTAAGTTCCGCGGAAGTAAGTTGCGTCACTTACACTGCACACACGCGCTACTTACAAAAACATTGAATTTTGAACTTATACTCAGAGTAGCATGTACATGCACGCAGCAGCGTCAATCCGGCTCAAAACGCGCGTTCAAACCGCGCTCGAGCAAGACTTTTGGCATGAGTGGTTGCAGTTGGGAACCTTGTTTGAAAGCAATGGAGCAGGCTCTGAAGATTTTGGAGCCCAGCCAACAGGAAATCAGGCGGATGCATTTGAGCTCGCTAGCAGACCATTTGTCTCACGCGGGAGTACCTCCGGAGGAGGAGGCAAGCCTGATAGAAGCTTTAGACTTCTGCGCCCAGGAAGAACAGAGAAATTGATGGCTGCTTGCGCCTGGGGACGCGCCTGAAGACGCGCCCGTGGACGCGCCTGCAGGACGCGCCTGCAGGGGACGCGCCTGAGGACGCGCCCGTGGACGCGCCTGCAGGACGCGCCTGTAAAAGGCGCCTGTAAAGCGCGAAGACGTATACGGGAACTGCGCAGGGAAGTCCGGGCCCCCATACGCGTGGAGTGCACACCGCATGCGTCCGGGGAACTGCGGGTTCCCAGGACTGTCCTCCGCGTGCAACCGCGTGTTCACCGGGCATGGTCTGCGCGCAAACGACAGGGAACTGCGCGTTCCCAGGGAGGGCGCGCTGCAGGGAACTGCGGGTTCCCAGGACTGGCCTTTGCAGGACCACGTGTTCTCCGGGCACTGTCAGCGCACCAACAACTGGGAAGTGCGCAGCTGTATACGCAGCGCGTGTCGCCAACACAAGGCGAAAGAGAAGGCAAGCAGCCACAAGGCAAGTATAGCGACAAAGGTCACACTCACGCGCGCAGAACAGGAGACAATAGCGTTGTCTTCACGTTCTGACGGACACAGAACGCACACAGTCGCGGTCAAGAAAAAGGAGGTTCCAGCAGCGCCATATCGCGTTCAGGGCATGTACGTTTTGTGGTTTTTGGCGATGTCCGCGGAACGTCCGCGGATGTCCGCGGGACTGGGGCTGCTTATTAAAGTAGATAGGGGCCAACGTCCGCGGAACGTCCGCGGCCTCTAGTGGATATTTCTTGAAAATAGGATATTTGTACGCGCGCAGGCTTTCTGGCTTGACGCTGTTTCCGCGCGCATATTATTCGCCCCTGGACATGGCCGACGCGGAGACGCAGAGACTAGGTTGTAACAAAGATGGGCGCCGCGCGCGCGCTCTGGTGTTGACCAGGGACGGGGCGCCCGCGTGGCGCACTCTTCCTTTGCGTTGACTGCGAGTCAACTCAAAGACTGGCTCGTCGGAACATGGGACGCGCTTGCAGAGCTGCTCAGAGCTCCGACGGCTATCCTACGCTATTGCACCGCTTGATTCCAGACAGGTTCAGAAGTTGAGACGCCTTCAAAGCCAACACCAGGAACTGTTCCGGAGAGCTTGGGGCGACGACCTGGTGCGGTCCAAGCATCACCACAGATTTCACATTCCCAGTGCTTGCGAGCAGTTGCGGTTCTTGCCGCACTGCGGCATTCAAGAAAAGAAGCACCAAGAAATCAAACATGGTCTCGTCGATTGCTTGGAAGGTTGCTGCAGAGAGCCACGCTTACTCGTTTGGTTCTGCGCAACGGCGAGGGCAGTCAGATATATGGCATGGGCGAGTGGGGTCTGGGGAAACCCGACAAAGAGGCCACGAAGGAAGAAAAGCTCTCTTTCAGGGACAATGGACTTCTCTGCGCAGACAGCGTCTTCATGTGGAAGAGAAAGATTACCGTGGGCGACATGGTCTTGCTCACTAACAATGTAGCCGGCCAATTCATCAAGGAGGTTTGCGGCCCTGCGTGCGGGCTGTATCTGCACTTGCAGACAATGGAGAAAATCACGGACCACCCATGGGGTAGTCGATGGAAGACATCATGCCTGAAGAAGTGGTGGAAGCCACAGCCAGAAATCGACGTGACGCTTGCTGCTTGGTGGTGTTTCGTAGGATCCGACGTGTGTTGCCTGCATTAGTTGAAAAAAGACTGCTCGAGAGCATGCGTCATGGTGTCTAAAACATACAAAAACGCAACAAAACAGTGAAACTACGCGGCACATACGCGGTACTCATGCGCTCCGCGTAAGTACCCCGAGTAAGTTCAACTTAAGTGCACGTATAACTGACGCAACTGCATGTATAAGTACCGCAAGTTATAACGACCCTCAGAATACCTCCCAAATTAAAGGACCGGATAACCCCACATATGAATCTTTACGAATCTCAAGTTTCCAAAGCAGTCTCAATAGCTTCTACAACATGGCCTTGTCAGGAAATATATCAGAATTACACAACAGAGGGGTGGGAGAGAGGTGTGGGAGAGTAATGCGCACGGTGGATGTACGAGGTATTGCGCAGAGATGTGTGTACAGTGTACAGCCACAACTAGCCGAAGTAAAACCCCATGGCTCTGCCACTGGAGGTTCACAAACTGCTGCGCCTGCCACGAAACCTGCACCTCGAGCTTCACAAAGCGCTGCACCTGCCACGAATTCTGCACATGGAGGTTCACAAAGCGCTGCGCCTGCCACGAATTCTGCACATGGAGGTTCACTAAGTGCTGTGCCTGCCACGTAATCTGCACATGGAGGTTCACAAAGCGCTGTGCCTGCCACGACATCTGCACGTCAAGAAACAAATGAAAACTCTAAGGAGGGACGGACCGGCGACCACCGGTGACAACCGCCGACAACCGCCGACAACGCAACCGCCAGAGCCTCTAACGGAGCATGGAGGTTCACAAAGTGCTGCGCCTGCCACAAATTCTGCACATGGAGGTTCACAAAGTCCTGTGCCTGCCACGTAATCTGCACATGGAGCTTCACAAAGTGCTGTGCCTGCCACGACATCTGCGCGTCAAGAAACAAATGAAAACTCTAATCACAATGGAGGGACGGACCGGCGGCCACCGGCGACAACCGGCGACAACCGCCGACAACGTAACCGCCAGAGCCTCTAACGGAGCATGGAGGTTCACAAAGTGCTGCGCCTGCCACGAATTCTGCACATGGAGGTTCACTAAGTGCTGTGCCTGCCATGTAATCTGCACATGGAGGTTCACAAAGTGCTGTGCCTGCCACGTAATCTGCACATGGAGCTTCACAAAGTGCTGTGCCTGCCACGACATCTGCACGTCAAGAAACAAATGAAAACTCTAATCGCAAAGGAGGGACGGACCGACGACCACCGGCGACAACCGCCGACAACCGCCGACAACGCAACCGCCAGGGCCTTTTTTTAACGGAGCGAGATCTATTGCATTGCAATTTACACTAAGATGTGTGTGGTCTCTGTGTGTGTCTCTGTATGTATTGTCTCGGTGTGTATGGTCTCTGTGTGTGTGATCTCTGTCTGTGTGATCTCTGTCTGTGTTGTCTCGGTGTGTGTTGTCTCTGTATGTATTGTCTCGGTGTGTATGGTCTCTGTGTGTGTGATCTCTGTCTGTGTGATCTCAGTGTGTGTTGTCTCTGTGTGTGTGTTGTCTCGGTGTTGTCTCTGTGTGTGTGTGTGGTCTCTGTGCGTGTGTGTGATCTCTGTCTGTGTGATCTCTGTCTGTGTTGTCTCGGTGTGTGTTGTCTCTGTGTGTGTGTGGTCTTTGTGTGTGTGTCTCTGCGCGCGTTGTCTCTGCGCGCGTTGCCTCGGTGTGTGTGGCGGAGGCGGGAGGCGGGAAGCGGGCGGGAAGCGGGATGAGACATAGAAAAGAAGAACCCCACACTAAGATGTGGGGAAAAAATGCATATGGATTGAAAAAAGGACGATACCAATCCCAAAAACCATACCTGCCTTAAAGCTTCCAAACGACCCCTAGTTTTGCCGGTCGCACACATGCATGTGGTGTGTGGAACCGTGCAGGCATGAAGACATTAGGCACACTTAATTCCAACTACACCGACGTGGCGCCCTGCCTACAAAAAGGTGTTTTTGGCTCGGTGTGTTCTGCTATCGTTTTTGTTACGTATCGTTTTCATGCCTGGTGCAAGTTGGAAAACCATGTGGCATAACAATGCTGTAGAAGGCTACAGCGGTCCAAGCCCTCCCACCTGTGTCCAAGCACATACCCACCAAGAACAGTCAGCAGTCACGCATTGACCCTGACAATTTGGAACACTAGTAGGTTTTCTGTTTGTGTGTGTGTACACGCGTTTTCTTCACACCACTTCTTGCATGTCAAGGGTTTTCCACAAGAGTCATCGAGGGTTATCCTTCTTTTTCTTCCTTATCGATTTACAGGGGATTGAGCATGCTTCCAGAAAAGGGGACATGCGAATACTAATTTCTTACATGGGAGGGCTGTATACTCTCTCAAATGAAACACAGGGTCTTTTGGTCTTCCCGATTCCCTGCCTCACATGGGGGGGCTTCCCTGCCATTCTGCTCTTTTCGCATTTCGCGAAAAGTCTCTTCGCTTCGCAGCTTCGCACCCAAGGGCGAGACGGACATCCAAAGGCGTGAAGGCCTCGTGCATCAAGTCGTCGATGCCTATGACCTTAAAAGACAGCGGCAAAGCCGCGACAGCGTTTCGTCGGAGTTCCATCTCCGGAACTTCAACTGGCAAACCGATGAAATCCGATGCTCAGGTGTTCACTGGTGTATTGACTGCCGTTAGCTGCGAGTTTTGCTGCCTACCTATTACAAAGGTCTGCAGGATTCATTTCTGTGTAGGTTCCGTATTTGACAACACCTTTGGCTGAAATTTGGCAAGTAATTGAATATATATATATACATATTATATATAGTATAACTATTCAAATTTGCTGTTCACTCTTGGGCATGTTCAATGCACATGCACGATCTGTTTGTCTGGTTCTTCTTTCCAATGTTTGAAGACCTGCTCACAGCCAAGCTGCAAATTCCAACGCCAAAGCATTCAAGATCAAATCGCCGAAGGACTGGGTCGCAGCGAGCCAACGGCATCCAATGTAAGTGAGCAACGTAGCCACCGCAATCCTGAGAGATGCACTAATTCACACTCTTCTGAAAACGGGAAACCTAAGAGTAGCAAGAAGAGTAGCTGAAACAAGTAGCAAAAATACACTTACAAAATGAAAATCCCTGCTGGTATTCAGGTGGAGAGGCTGGGATCCCGATCCAATTCTACAAACAAAATGACCCCGAAAAGTGTGTGAGCCATTGGGGAGAGAGGTATGTGGAGGGTTATACAAATTGGAGGAGTCCAAGGCCACTGTAAACTACAAAATGGTTTACACTGCACTACAAAAGGGACTCGTTTTAGTAGTAAACGTGAGTGCGTATGAATCCTCTGAATGTACGCGTGTCCAAGCACTCGCAAATCATGACTGATTTCCAATATCTTCCTGATCGTATATTCTGACTCTCTACTAGACTACACGCAGGACCTCCTATAATAAATAAAGGAGCGCATCCACTGAACATGAATCTCCCTTTCACTACAAAGTGGTTAAACCCATGCCTGTTTGCAACAAACATAGGGGGCTGGGCACAAGCACCCTCCACTACAAAATGATCATTTTGTACGGGGGTCAACACCCGGCATTCTCTAGGTTTACTATCATCGAGGATAAACAAAATAAGTAGCAAAACAAGCAAAGAGTATCTAAATCGCAAGATTTCGTTACGACTAAGGTCACTAAGGCCGCAGGAATGGTTAGGGTTCAGGTTCTTTAAAGAAGCTCCTCCCCTTTGGGTTCAGCGGTTCAACAGACTGAACATTGCACATCATTTTGCAAGCCAGGGTCCTCTCAGAGATCAATCAAAAAAACACGTGACAAAAATTACGCCAGCATAGCCCGTCTTAAACGCGCTCAGCCAGCTCACAGCACCAGCGCCCAGGACCACAACACCAGCACCAGCACCGACACGCTTTCGAAAGCGCGCGCAGCCAGCCCATTCTTATTTGCAGCAAGAACCCCATAGCTATCCCTACTTGGGGAATAACAACGTATGATCTTGCGCGTATAAGTTTATGCGTGCAAAAGTACGCGCGCAAACAGCAAAGCCCATAAGTGTCATTGGCCCAAGGCCAAGCAGTATCCAGCGCCACTATTGACTTTGTAACTTTGTAGCATGATTGAAGCAACGACCTGCAGAACGATAAGGCCGCATGATCTTGCGCGTATAAGTTTATGCGCACAAAAGTATGCGCAAAATCGGCAAAGCCCGTAGGCTTCATTCACTCGCCCGAGGCCAAGCAGTATCCAGCACGACTATTGTGCGCGTAGCATGCTGAAACATGCTGGTACAATGGTCGGTTGAGAGCCTGACGCATAGAACATTGTAATTACGTACAAAAGTATGCGCGCAAACAGTAAAGCCCTTGACACAGCTGTCGGCCAAAACAGAACCTGAAGGGTGTAAATACCCCACAGCACTAGTAGACAAAGAACGCTCAAGCGACAACACCGTATGATGTTGCGTGCATAAGTTCATGCGGCCCATGACTGCTTGCACTTCATTGTCAGAAGCGGCGCTTGGTCGCCCTTCACTGCTGCAAGCGGCGGTTTGCTACCCTTCGCTGTCAGAAGCGGCAGTTGTTATCACTTCACTGTCAGAAGCGCACCAGCACCGAGCACCGGCGCCAGCTCACGGCGCCCAGTACCAGCACCCAGCACCGGTATAGCGCCAAGCACCAGCACCCGGCACCCTGTCTCCACCACGCGCACAGCCAGTTGATATTTGAAGTGAGAACCCCATAGCTTCCCTATCTGGACAAAAAAAGATGGCCACATATATGCAAACCACACCACCAGCACCGGCACCCAGCACCAGCACCAGCACCGGCACCCGGCACCCAGCGCCAGCACCGGCACCCGACACCAGCACCAGCAACCTGTCTCCACCACGTGCACAGCCACAGCACCAGCACCGGCACCCGGCACCCAGCACCAGCACCGGCACCCGGCACCAGCACCAGCACCCGGCACCAGCACCACGTGCACAGCCAGCTCACAGCACCAGCACCAGCGCCGGCGCCCGGCACCCAGCACCACCACCAGCACCAGCAACCTGTCTCCACCACGTGCACAGCCACCGGTGCACAGCCAGCTCACAGCACCAGCACCGGCACCCGGCACCCAGCACCAGCACCGGCACCCGGCAACAGCACCAGCAACCTGTCTCCACCATGTGCAACAGCCAGCTCACAGAACCAGCACCAGCACCGGCACCCAGCACCAGCAACCTGTCTCGAAAGCGCGCACGGGCAACTCATTATTACACCAGCATAGACCCAGCCAGATAGCTACACAGAATCCCACAACCTGTTGACATGGGACTGGCTGGAACAAGAATGTACGCAGCCTGCGCAGCCAGCCTCCACCACGTGCACAGCCAGCTCACAGCACCAGCGCCGGCACCC